CACATCACCACAGGCCGCCCTGCTCACCACGAGAGGAGGGGCCCCCCTGGAAGGACGGGCACCGTGTGGGCCTGCTGCCACTCAGGGCGAGAGGCCCGCTCGGAGAGGAGGAGCGGCCTTGCATCTCTCGGGTTAGCGATGTAAGCGTTTTTGGAGGTGTTCTTGTTTGAACAAACTTTTGCCTTGAACAATAGACAACAACACCAACAACACCAACAACAACAACAACAACAACAACAACATCAACAACAACAACAACAACAACAACAACAACAACAACAACAACAACAACAACAACAACAACAACAACAACAACAACAACAACAATCATTTTAAGACTGTTCGCTCTTACTTGCCCGCGTGCCATGCAACGTGTATGCCCACGCCCTCGATACCCGCCCCCTTCGTCTTGGAGCGTACCCCCTTCTGGAGGGATTCTTTCTTTTTGCGGGGGCGGGCGGGCTTAGACAAGCGGGCGTGAACGGGCGGGGAATTATTCGGAGGATGGGGCACGCATCTCTTTGCCCACCATTGGAATTAGCGCGGGCCCTGCAAGAAGAGGAAGGGGGAGAACAAGGGAGAGTGGGAGGAAGGGAGGGGGAGGGACGAGGCTAACTGGGAACACGCCAGGAGAGAGGGGGCGAGGAGGGGGGGGGGGACGATTGGAGATAGAGAGACAGAGGAGGGAGGAAGGAGGAGGCTAGAGAGGGGAGGGCGAAGAGAGGAGGGAGGAGGGTTATGGGAGGAGGGTGAGGGGAGAGAGGAAGAGGGAGGAGGAGGGTGGATATGAGGGAGAGGGGAGGGAGGAGGGAGGTTGGATGGGGAGGAAGGGGCAGGAGGGTAAGAGTGTGAACGTTCGAGGAAGTCCTAGGCGAGGGCGTATTCCTCAAGGAAGAGTTGGGCGGGAGCGGGGGTCCCGAGTACATTGTCGGACGTCTCAGGCGGGAGCGCCGGTCGGGCGGGCGGACCCTGACGGGCGGGTCGGGCGGGCGGGACATTCAAACGGGATTTTTGCGTACATTGCGAGGAAGTATTTAGCGAGAGCGCGATTTCTAAGTAAATTGCGAGGGCGTCCTTGGCGCGAGCGTGGTTCCTGAGCGTCGAGAACGCGATGCTGGAATAAATTGCGAGGAAGTCCTAAGCGAGAGCGCCATTCCTGAGCGGGCGCAGGGGTCCTGATTAAGGAAGTCTCAAGCGGGAGCGCCGCTTCTGAGTAAAATGTGAGAAAATCTGAAGCGGGAGCGCCCTTCCGGAGTAAATTTTGAGGAAGCCTCAGGCGGGAGCGGGGGTCCTGAGTAAATTGTGAAGAAATCTCAGGCGGGAGCCGTTGTTGTTGTAGTCCGGGGCCCAACAACGCAATCTGATCCGCAAGGCTTTCCCTGTCAAAAAACAAGGTGCGAGCCCCGGAGGAAGCACTTCCATTGAAAAAACAAATGGGCACCAGACAGTGGGGATCAACAATAATTATTCTTCAGAAATGAGAATTCAACAACAACAACAACAACAACAACAACAACAACAACAACACAACAACAACAACAACAACAACAACAACAACAACAACAACAACAACATCACCATCATCATCATTAACAACAACAGTAACAATAGCAACAACAACAACAACAACAACAACAACAACAACAACAATAACAGCAGCATCAACAACAATAACAACAACAACAACAACAACAACAACAACTACATCATCATTAACAACAACAATAACAATAACAAGAGCAAGAACCTCAACAACCACAACAACAACAACAACAACAACAGCAACAACAACAACAACAAGTTCTGTTTGTTGCGGAAAGGGGGAGGGGGGGGCTGGCTCCAGACCTCTGCGTAGTGCGACTGTTTGCAGCAGTGCGGCCGATGGGGGAGGGGCCCCACCTGCTCGAAGCAGGCGCCAAAAAACCGCCAAGATCTACTCCATGGGGGGGGAGGGGGGGGGGCACGCCGATCGGCAAAACAATGAATGCAAAACGATGACGGTAGGGAATGGGGAAGGCACGATTACCAGCGTAAGCAAGGTGCCCAGCGAGAGGTGCGAAGCTGACGCATTGTTTGAAAGCTCCACCTGCACATCTGAAAAAATAACGAGAGAGAGAGAGAGAGAGAGAAAAAAAAAAAAGCGAGAGAGAGAGGGGGGAAAAAGATAGAGAGAGGGGGGAAAAAAAAAAAAAAAACGTCTCAAGCGAGAGCCCCATGTTGAAAGACTGCTGCCCTCCACCCGCACAGATGCTACATGCGTTCAAGCCTCCAGTGTGACTGCGGTGAAGACGTCTCGAGCGAGAGTCCCGTGTTCCCTGTCGAGAGAGAGAGAGAGAGAGCGGCCCTCAGTCCTTTGCAGATGCCGCGAGCAGTCAAGACGAGTGCGCGCGGGGCGCCAGCGAGAGCCGCATTTCAATCCACCAGTCCTCCATCTTTGAAGCTGCTGCAGGCTTTTAAGACGGACGTGCACGGCGCTAGGACGAGAGCCGCATCTTGAAAACGACCGGCCCTACAACCATGAAGCTGCTGCGGACTTTTAAGACGAGTGTGCGTGGCCCAAGACGATAACAGGTTTGGAAAACTAGCGGCCCTCAATTCGGGAAGCTGCTGAAACTTCTCAGCTCCAGAATTCTGCATTGCCAGGGAGTCTCAAGCAAAACGCATGGCCTAGCATGCGGACACGTCTGTTGGTGCGACAGGGCTGAATTACTGATAGGGAAGAAGGATGGGGGAGGAGGAGAGAGGAGAGTACAGAGGAGAGGAGAGAGGAGAGAGGAGAGGGGGACAAGCTAGGCGCGCTCGCCATCCTGTGATGTGCAACCAGAGAAAGGGACCTGTGCAAATAGGAGGGGGTGCTGGATTAACTGGAGGATCAGCAGGAGGAAGACGAGGAGGATGAGGAAGGAGGAGGAGGAGGAGGAGGAACAGCAGCAGCAGGAGCAAGAGCACATTGCATGTGTACCTCCCCTGTGTTTCTCTCGAGCGTGTCTGAAGTTGCGAGTTTACTTACAAGTGCAGGCAAACTATGATGCCCGGTCCCTGACATGGAAGATTGCTCTGGCTTAGCAGAGTCCTGCTCCGATGCTGGGCAGCTCAGATGCTAGCACAACTCATGCTCTGTCCCCCCATCCGCGTGCAGCATCAAGGCGTTAGCTCGACTGGACGGTCCTAACCCAGTGCATGGCCTAGACTGCGTGCGGAGAAGGAACGGGGAGGCCAGGCCAGGAAGGGAGGGTCAGCCACGCAGCTCGTGCGCTCCCTCGCCCTATCACTGCCCTGCGTTCCTTGTTCGGGTGCACTACAGTCGGGGCGTTGACCTAAGGAACCCTAAATAAGGCACGAGGCCCCTTTCGTTTCCATAAGTTGAACTTCGATTTCCGATCGACAACCTAAGGAAAACCTGAGGCAAGCTGCGAAACAATTAAGGAACACGGAGCCCCTCCCCAACGAAAAGGGTTCCTTCTTCAGGGCCCCGACTGTAATTGCCAGACCAGCTGCGCACCTCCAGGCGCCCGCTAGCGGGCGGAGGTGGCTCCGAATAGCACAGGTGGCTTCCTGCACGGCCTCGTCCATGGTGGAGCCCAGGGACGGGAGCCTTCCCCTCCACATGCTGGCGAGGGAAGGTACAAGCCTTGTGGAGCCCGGCGCAGTTGCTGGATACCTCGGCGCCCCAGCAACCAGGGGCCTGGAGGAATGCGGCGGGAGGGCTGCGGCCAACGCGCTCCACTGGGCCAAAGAATGTTTCCCTCCAATATCGGTTGTTGGTGCCATCGGGACTGTTCGATGTGCCATGTCTGTTCGGCTTACTCGGGGGCAGTCACAGAAGCATGTGTGGGCCACACTTTTTTGCACTTGGAGCGATCCAGGCCTTTGTATTCCTCGACACCCGGCGCAAGAAACATTGCATGGAGCTCCCTCGTGCTATCACTCTCTTGCTTTCCTCACTCACTTGGACGAGTTGTCATACCAGGAACGGGAGGAGCAGGAGCAGCAGGAGGAGGACCAGGGGACGTCGGAGGAGGGAAAAGAAGCGGGGAGACAACGATGAGAAAGGACTCGGATTCAGAAAGGTGGCCCGCGCTGGGGCGGCAGCGCCATGCTGAACGACGGGAGCAAACCGAAGATCCAAAATTATTGCCCATGCTGCAGCGGGAGCACCGTTCTGAAGGATCGAAAACGTTCGCACTGAAAATTCACACATCAGAAAGGAAAAGCGTACCAATCCTGACCGAACGCGTGAGGAGAAGGAAGAGGAGGAGGAGGAGGAGGAAGAGGAGCAAGCAAGCAAGACCTGGGCAGCCGTAGTCCTCCGCTGCCTGGCTCACCACTGCTGGGTGAGAGTTCTAACCACGACAATCGCTGCTGGTGTGATCAATGCGCTACTCGGGCAAGCCTGCGGGACCTTATAGCCCATCATGGACCTTCAAAGCCCGCGTCAGCACGAAGGCGCACCGCACTTCACTCAACTCGCACAGAGCTGAGGCTCAGAGCACTTGGCCCCATCACCTCATTCTCGGGGCTGACGGGTGCGGGGGGGGAGACCCCCAGGGAACTCGGGGCATCGAAAGAACGCAAAAACAGTGCAGCAGCCATTTCAGGCCGCGTTCAGGTTCGCTGTGCGTGCGCCTCCGTGCTGCTCAAGTTAACCTCATCCTCCCCCGCCCCACTCCCCCCCACCACTTCACCCCCCAGGCTATCAGTAAGCGGCAACAGGCAGCCGAAACGATCGGAAAACATCTTACTACTCTGCATTTCAAGTGACACCGACATCGAAAGTGTGCCATTCGAAAAAAGGAAGAGGACCAGGAGGGGAGGAGGAGAAGGAGATGGAGGACCACGAGGACCACGAGGACGACGACGACGACGACGAGGAGTGGCAACATGGGGGCGGATGGTAAGAGAAAAAGAACTCAGCAGAAACAATGCAAAGAAGAAGAAGAAGAAGAAGACGAGGAGGAAGAGGAGGAGGAGGAGGAGGAGGCGAAGTGTCTGCCCGTCTCCTCCATGGCTGCCAGACTGCGCCGCTCTGTGGATGCGACTGGCCAGGACGCAGAGCCGCGCCCAAAGGCGGCCGGCGGCGGCTGAGCGCCCACGGGCCGAAATGGCTGAGGCCGACGGACTCTCGGGGATCTCGGGGCTCTCCGCACTCTTGTTGGAGGGGGGCCGCGGCGGGCGCGACCCTCCGTCGCCCAAGAGCTGATCAGCCAGGATCCCGGTATCTGGATCATCCTTCTCCACCACCCGCTTCTCCGTCATCCTCCCTCCTCCTCCTCCTCTTCCTCCTCCTCCTCCTCCTCCTCCTCCTCTTCCTCCTCCTCCTCCTCCTCCTCCTCCTCCTCCCTCCCTCCCTCCAATCCCTCCCTCCCGCCTCCCTCTCCTCCTCATCGTCCTCCACCGCCTCCTCCTCTTCCTCCCTCGTCATTCCCCTCCTCCTCCTCTCCCTCCTCCTCCTCCTCCTCCCCTCCTCCTCCCTCCTCCGTCTCCTCCTCCCTACCTCCTCCTCTCCTCCTCCCTCCTCCCTCCCCTCCCTCCGCCCGCCCTCCCTCCTCCCTCCCTCACTCCTCGTCCTCATCATCTTCGTCCTCCTCGTCATCCTCCCAACTCCTCCTCCTCCTCCTCCTCCTCCTCCTCCTCCTCCTCCGGATCGTCAAGACGCAGCAGTCAGGTTGATACGTGGCGTTGACATCCCGAGAACAATGTTTTGGCATGCTTCAGGATCTTCAAACGGTTGCCTTCCAACGAGGCAGTTCCCTCAATGGACATGAACCGTTGTGGGGGCCTGTGAAGAGGGAGCTTGGAGGGAGGGTTAATTCCAACATCGTTGATGACTCTTGGTTTCACACTGGTCATCCTCCTCCTGGTCATCATTCTCCTCCCCCCGTCTCCTCATCCCTCGTCTTCTACCTCGTAGACCTGATCCTCCTCCTCCTCCTCCTCCTGCTCTTCCTCCTCCTCCTCCTCCTGCCCCTATCTCCTCAATTCCTCCGCCTCCTCCTCCATATCCTCCTCCTCCTCCTCCTACTCCTCCTCCTCCTCCTCCTCCTCCTCCTCCTCCTCCTTTCCTTCTCCTATAGATAACTCCTCCCTGTCGCATCCCGAGGCCAATTTTTAGGGCGGGCCGGGCGTGTCGCTTCAGACTTCCTCACCATTTATGATTCTGAAGGTTTACAAATGACAACAGCTTCACAGATGGAGGGCGGGTTGTTTTCCAAATGTTGATCTTCACATTCGCTTCACAAAACTGCTTCACAAAATTCGCCGCGCACATTAGCGCGGCGAATTTTGTTCATTATTTTCCCATTGTTTTCCATTAGCGCCGCGCACATTCGCTTCACAAAATTGAAAAAGCTTCACGGATTGAGGGCGGGTGGTTTTCAAAATGTGGCTCTCGCCAGAGCGCCGCGCACACTCGATTTAAACATTCGCAAGAGCTTCACGGATTGAAAGCGGCTCCTTTTCGAAATGTGGCTCTCGCCTTTAGCGCCGCGCACATTCGTCTTAAACAGTTGCAAGAGCTTCACGGATTGAGGGCGGCTCCTTTTTCAAAATGTGGCTCTCGCCTTTAGGGCCGCGCACATTCGTTTTAAACATTTGCAAGGGCTTCACGGATTGAGGCGGCTTCCCTTCAAAAAGTGGTTCTCGCCTTTAGCGCCGTGCACATTCGTTTTCAACATTTGCGAGGGCTTCACGGATTGAGGGCGGCTTGTTTTCAAAATGTGGCTCTCGCCTTCGCGCCGCGCACATTGGTTCTACACATTTGCAAGGGCTTCACGGATTCAGGGCGGTTCCTTTTCAAAATGTGGCTCTCGCCCTAGCGCCGCGATCAGTCGTTTTAAACATGTGCAAGAGTTTCACGGGTTCTCATGATCTACGTATCAGAAATGGTGCTTTGGAGCGACTCAGGATTATGCGGGTGCAACAGATATGTTGGTTCGCGGTGTTGAAGTCCCAACAGTGGCGCTCTGGCACGATTCTGGACCGTCAAGACGCAGCAGTCAGGTTAATCCGTGGCGTTGCAATCCCGAGAACAATGTTTTGGCATGCTTCAGGATCTTCAAACGGATGTCGGTTGTCTTCCAACGAGACAGTTCCCTCAATGGACATGAACCGTAGTGGGGGCCTGTGAAGAGGGAGCTTGGAGGGAGGGTTAATTCCAACATCGTTGATGACTCTTGGTTTCACACTGGTCATCCTCCTCCCCCTCCCCCTCCCCCTCCTCCTCCTCCTCCTCCTCCGCCTCCTCCTCCTCCTCCTCCTCCTTCTCCTCCTTCTCCACCTCCTCCTCCCCCTCGTCC